TCCGAAAAGCACATGTTTGCATCGATGTAATGTGTCGTGGATCCCCCGTGGCGGATCCATGACATTTGCGAGTAGTTACTTTGCGAGTCGTGGAACGCGCCTGTCAATTCCATCCAGGGGCCGTGGGGGAGCTCGTCGACGCCCCGCGCGCCTGCGCGCTCCCGGGCGGATCGTCTGCCGCGGGAAGGCTGGCTGCGGAAGAGCCACGCCCGCCAGGTGCACGCGTGGCCGCCTGCGGTCCTCCGGCAGAGGCGAGGCTGCGCCAGCGTGGCGTCGACGGGCATGGCGGCCTTCGGCCTGCCTGATGCTGCCGCCGCGCGCTCGGCGTTCAAGACCCCGATTGAAGACGCAGATCCTCTCGCCTGCAGCCTGGGGCGCGCGTCTGCGAGCGTTTTCGCCATCGCGGCCGCTGCCGTCATTCGGTGGGGCGAGTGGCCATCCTGCAAAGGCGCTGCTTGGGATGCGGCTGTCGATTACCGTGCGCTTTCAAAGCGGGATCGCGCCGACATCTGCGACGCCGAGGTGATCGTCGCATGCTGGGGCTTCCGCCAGATACCTCCGTTCTGGAGCGCGCGTCCCGACTGGGCGTTCGCGCCGCGAGCGTCGCGGCGTCGCCTTTGTGGCCCCCATCCGAATTCGGCAACTCCGCGCCGCGCGCTGGCAGTTTCGCGACAAAGATTACATTGCGTGGATCGAGCGCATCGGCCAAGGCCGCGTTCCGCGCGCGCATCATCGGTGGCGAAATTGGTTAACTCGAGCTCGACCGCTGCTCCGTGGCCCGCACCATGTTCGATGCCATTAGCTATTGCTTTCCCCGCGTGAACGATCCCGCCGAGTGTGCCAGCTGGATTCTGACAGCCGCGAACAACGCTGAAACTCTTTGGACAACTGTATCCTGGGTGCTGGCGCAAACTTATTCGCTGGGCGAGTCTTTCGCACGAAGTTCCGACGTCATTGAGTACGACTCCCAAAACGATTCCGTCGAAGACCGCGTCGCCGCCGCTTGCCTCCACCTCCAAGGCGAGAGCGGTGTCCTTCCGCGCTCTCTTCGGTTGGTTGCTGGCGGCCTCTATGAGTTGATGGGGAGTTTCAGTCCGTGCGATCGCCTGATGGGCCTCGCCCAAGTCGCGCCCAGAGTGCTCTGCGACAGATATGTCCTCCTGAAGCGGTTGGATTGGAAGCAGTTTCCTCTGCCCCAGATCTGCGTCTTCTGGGCATGGGGGAGGGGGGCCACCGCGATCCGCCGACGACAGTGCCCCCCTGCGTGCGGCGCATGATTCCACGTTTAACGGCTCACGTGGCACCGAGTTGGCCCGCTGTGTGGTTGACGACCGCAGAATCCCGTTCTCCCGCGGCCACCTTTACGTGGCTCTGAGCTGGGTGGAGGCCCGAGCAAACATTCACATCTTCACATAACGCTGCAGCCCTGCTAGTAAAGCTCTCGAAGGACATGTTTTACTGCCCTTGTTATTGCTCGACGACTCTGCCGCGTCTGCTGTCCGAAAGAGACCGTGCCAGTCCCCATCTCCGATCGCCGCCCCGAGTGTGGGCGCGAACGAGCATTCGGGCTTCGAGCGCTGTCCAGAGCGGCCACTTTGTTGCGCCCCTCGCATGTTCGAGCCAGGCTGCCGCCGACCCGCGCTGCCAGCCGTGCTCGCCAAACCCCCCGCCGCCCGCGAACCTGGTAGCGCGATCTTCGGCGCGTCCGCGCAAGGGCGCCCGCGGCCCGACGCGGGGGGCCGAGTCCGCGCGCCCCTCTCCCGGGTGAGCGCCTCCATTTGTTCCGACGCGCCGTCGAATGCCAGCGCGGGCTCCCGCTTCGCGCTGTCCGACGGAGTTGGCGTGCGCAACGGGCCCCCTGCCACTCGCCGCGGCCTCTGCGCTGCCGTCGAGACGGGCCGCCGACGCGTTGTAGTTGAAGCTGCCGCCAAACGGAGTGTGCGCCTCCGCCGAAGGGTTGCATCTGTCGCAGGCAGGCCATGGCCCCGCCGCTGGAAGTCGCAGTGGCCGATGGCGCCGGCAATGCCGCCGCCTCGCGGGCCGCCGCCCGCGTGGCCAGCCGCGCACTCGGCATCCTTGCGGGCTGCGTCGTCGAGGCAGGCTGCCAAGTCTCCGCGGCCGACGCCTAGGGCGCCTGGTCCGCTAGTCCGCCAAGCCCATGGTGCGCAACAGTCGTGTGTCCATCTGTCGCGCGGGCATTGGCGAACGGCCAGGTGTACGAGGCCAATGACTTGATGTACCTGGTCTGTGCCATCCACCCGAGCTCGCCGCAGAATGCACCCCGCCAGCTCCAGAACTTCTTCGGCACCCGCGCCTCCGTCGCCACCGAGGCGTCCAGCCCATCCACCACGTTGACGACGTCGGTGACGAGCGGTGGCCCGGCTCGCCCCCACCCCCTGCGGCGAAGAGGCCAGGGCCAAGCGCTGAAGAGCGCCATTTCATTCCGCCCGTTCCCCCAGCGCGCCGCGTGCATCTATTGTTCTGGGCCCGCCCGCCACCCGAAAAACAGTGACCGGCTGCCGCGCGCGCTTTGCCCGCCAGAGCAGGCGTGCATTCGCTTCCACACTGCCCACCCGAATGCGCCCCCGCGCAATGTTTTTCTTGCGTTTTCCAACGCAAGCCCAATGTCAAAACAGACTTTCCCTAACAACCTTTTTGGCCCAATCAATATGTAGTGTTGGGCCCACGTTTTGTAGAGACAGCGCCCCGCCTCCCCCTCCCCCTTCCCTTCCTCCCCGTCCCCCTCCCCCTCCCCTCCTCCCGCCGCCCCTGCGTGCCTCTGCTCTCCGCATGTCAGTTCGGCGCACCCTTTACACATTTCGTGTCCCCATAGGGAGCTCCACCCAACGCATCAGTGGCGACGTTCGCATGCGTTGGCCCCGCCGGGTACAGCGTTTCTCGGCCCCATAAGGATTTCCACCGAAGGCTCCAGTAGCGCCGTTCACATGCGCCCGCCCCACTCAGTGTACCGTTTCGTGGCTTCATGTGGAGTTTAACCGAAGGCCCCAGTGGCCTCGTCCGCATACGTCGTGTCACCCAGCACAGCGCCTCGTGGTCACCCAGGGAGCTCCATCGAAGGCCCTAAAGGCGACGTTCGTATGCGTCCGCCTTGCCCAGTGCAGCGTTTCGTGGCTCATAGGGAACTCCACCGAAGGCCCCAATGGCGACGTTCGCATGCATTCGTCTCACCCAGCACAGCGTCTCGTGGCCACATAGGGAGCTCCACCGAAAACCCTGGTGGCGACGTTCGCTTGCGTCCGCCCCACCCAGTACACCGTTTCGTGGCCCATATGGAAGTCCACCGAAGTCCCTTAAAGGCGGCGTGCGCATGCGTCCGCCCCCCGCCCAGTACCGCGATTCGTGGTCCCATAGGGAACTCTACCGACGGCTCCAGTGGCGACGTTTCCCCCTGCCCACTTTGGCACACTCCTACGCGTTTCATGGCTCTTTTGGGGGCTCCACCGAGTGCCCCGTGGCCTTAATGGGGGGGTCAACAAAAATAGCCGTAGTGGCGCCCGCATGACGGCTCCGCCCCACTTCGGCACACCCTTTACACGCTTCGTGGCCCCATGAGGGGATCCACCCGAGGCGGTACCCACAACGGCGATATTCTCAACTGCATATGCTTGGGTCTTCCGCCAAGATAATTTGACATCCACTTTTCCCGCCCACGCCTCGCTCCTCCTCCTCCTCCTCCTCCTCCTCCTCCTCTTCCTCCCCCTCCTCCTGCTCCCTCCTTCTCGTCGTCCTCCTCCTCCTCTAGGGCCCCAAGAAGCCCCACCCAAAAAGGCCAGGCTGAGCGAGTTAGTTCCTTGTGATTAGGAGTTGAGTTTAGCTGTTTTTGGGGCTTCTGGGCTGTTATGGGTTCCGCAGTCTGCGTAAGTTTTGCGTAAACCCCGCGCAAGCGCGTAAGCTCCGTGTAAGCACCGCGTAAGTTCCGCGTGAGCGCGTAAGTTCATCGTAAGGGTAAGATGCCCGGAGATGGCCAACGCGACGGCTCTAGAAGGTCCAGCAGGTTTCCGAGTTCGCCCACATGGGCTCCACGATTGCCCCAAAAAGACCCAAATGGCACTTGCACTGGCTCTGCGTGCGTGGCGCCGTGGAGGCGCAGCGGATGGGGCGTCTAGGCGCCTGAAAACTTCAGCACAATGCTACCATGACGACACAGGAAGCAGCGTGCGGGAAAAGGGAGAAGGAGGAGAAGGGAGGGTGGCGACATCACGGCGTGATGTACTTGTCTCGGAAGTCGTCCCAAGCCGCGTGGTGGCAAGACGGTGTCAACCTGAATGTCCACAACATACCCCGACCAATGTACAGAGATCGTCTCAAGAGGCCTCAAGACGGCTCAAGAGGGCTCGAAGACGGCCCGAGAGTTTCTCAAGACAGCCCAAGAGGGTCCCACGACTACCCAAGGATGAGACAAGGGCGAGGGCGATCGGGGGAAGAAGAGGAGAAACAAAGGACAGGCGAGCGATTCCGCATCTTCTCAAAGCAGTTGCGCTTTCCGTCCCTGTGCCAAGCAGGTCTGATTGCGTGGGTCGTGAACAGGAGGCCTCTCGGATGCCTCTTGGGGTCTCTTGGAGGCGTCTCCGGGGCCTCTTCGGAGGCCTCGTGTGGCCTTCTGGGGGCCTCTTGGGGTCCTCCTGGGACCCTTTTGGGAGCCTCTCTTGGACCTGCTCTCTGTCTCGGGGGCCATGTTGGGGCGGAGGGCTCCAGCTTGCAGTTCGCTTGCGCTATGCTGCGGTCCGCACTAGTCTGCTGCGCTCTCTTCTTCCCCGCCTGCGCGGCCTGGGACGTGGCTGCTCGAGTAAGCAAGCTGTGCAAGATCCTATTCATATCCTGTCACTGCTGCCCTGTCTTGTCCCAATAGTCAGGCGATCGCAAGCATGGATGAAGGGGACGTGGATTAGCGACGGGTCCCGTTGCCATGAGGAATCGCGGTCTTCCGCCCTCGAACGAGGCGGCACCGGCTGCATGTTGGGGTAGACACCTCTCGAGCCATGGATTTGGCGACCGCGCGCCAAGTCCATGGATCGCTAGTCCATGTCTGCGCGCCCCCGACAACAGGCACGGGCGGGCTCCCCGGAGGAGCGCGCACGACTCCGTCGTTTGCTCCGCTTTTCGCTTCGCTTCGCTTCTCTTCGCTGTCCTCTCTTGGTATTGCTCGTGCACCTCTTCCCTGGAGCAACTTTCAGAACGATCGTGGTTTTCGTTGTGCTTGTTGCCGCGCAGCAGGTGCCCCGGTGAGACGGCCAGCACCGATTGCAGTGCTGCAGGTGCAGGCGGTGCGCTCTCTCGGAGAGCTGTCGTCCCTGTCTGTTTGTTTCTCGGGTCGTCCTCAGCCCCCTCCAACTTCCTTGCTCTCTGCGGCGAACTCGTTGTCAAAATGTTGACGCCGCCGCTTCGTTTTTTCTTCTAGTGCCGACTCGAGTCGTGCTGCACGGGAGTCTGTCTCTCATTCTTCATATCTCTATCATTTTGCTGTTTGCCCACCACTTCCCACGGATTTGTCGAATGTTTAAAGACCTTCGATGGTTAAGATTGGTACCCCTGGATCCCGATAGCCTCTTGATGTGTGGCGTGCTTTTGCAATGTTTTCTCGGTGGTTGTCAAATATCGCCACTTTCAGGTGGCTCTGCCAGACGATGGCGCAACTCCCTCTTCTGATTCAAGCATGCGATTCCGTCCAAATCTGTGCTGATTTTGGGTGTGACTCGTGTGTGTGTGTGTGTATGTGGGTGGGTGTGGGCACTGGTGGCCACACGCCCAGCCTCCTGTGCGACTACGCGCGGGCTGAGTTCGAGTGGCTCTCTGTCCCGGCCCCGTCTCCAGGCGGGCCAGTCGGAAGCTAGTTCGGGGGCGGGGGGGGTGGATATCATGGCGGGGGCCATGATATCTCTCCAGATTTCTGGACGCCCTCGACTAGTGTGAAGGCCTTACGGCCGCTGCCGCCGATGACCACGACGATAACGACAGCGACGAGCTGATGACCCTGCCACAGGCTCAGGACATGGGGCGGGCGGTGGATGGAGGAGGAGGAGGAGGAGGACGAGGCGGAGGAGGAGGAGGCGGAGGTGGAGGCGGAGGCGGAGGAGGAGGAGGAGGAGGAGAAGGAGGACGAGGAAGAGGAGGACGAGGACGAGCACGAGGACGAGGAGGAGGAGGAGGAGGAAGAGGAGAATGAGGAGGAGGATAAGGAAGAGGAGGACGAGGTGGATGTGGATGATGATGCGGATGATGACGATGCTGATGATGATGATGATGGTCGTGATGGTGGTGGTGCTGGTGGTATGGTGATGATGGTGATGGTGATGGTGATGCTGATGATGAGGATGGTGATGCTGCTGATGATGGTGATAATGATGATGCTGATGCTGTTGATGTCGTTGATGGTGATGATGATTAGATGATGATCAGATGATGATGATGATGATGATGATGATGATGATGATGCTGATGATGATGATGATACTGCTGATGACAATGAGGGGGATGATGAGGATGACGATTCTGATGATGATGACGATGACGAGGAGGACGACGACGATGGTGATGATGATCTGAATGAAGATGATGGTGATGTTGGTGACTGCGATGCTGATGCTTTTGATGATGATGCAGATGATGCTGGTGATGATGATGGTGATGGTGATGGCGATGTTGTTGTTGCTGTTGTTGTTGATGGTGATGGTGATGGTGATGGTGATGATGGGGATGATGATGCTGATGATGATGACGATGCTGATGCTGATGGTGGTGGTATGATGATGCTCATGATGATGCTGCTGCTGACGACGATGATGATGATGATCATGCTGACGCTAATGCTAATGATAATGATGGTTGGTGGTGGTGGTGATGATGATGCTGCTGATGCTGATGCTGATGCTGATGCTCATGCTGCTGCTGATGATGATGATGATGACGACTATGATGCTGGTCTTGATGCTGATGCTACTGCTTCTGACGATGATGATGCTGATGCTGATGCTGATGCTGATGGTGAGGAGGACGAGGAGGATGAGGAGGATGAGCTGGATGAGGATATGGATGAGAATGATGATGATTTTGCCGATAAAGATGACGATGCTAATGATATTAATGTTGATGTTAAAAGTGTTGTGGCTGTTGTTGTATATATGATGATGATGACGTTGTATGGTGATGATGATTGTAATGCTGATAATGGTGATGATTATTCTGATTATGATAATGATGATTATGCTGATGCTGATGCTGATGCTGATGCTGATGCAGATGACAATGAGGATGAGGATGAGGATGAAGATAAGGATGATGATGATATAGATGATGATGATGATGATGATGATGATGACGATGATGATGATGAGGATGAGGATGACGATGAGATAAATATGATGGTGGTGATAATGATGATGATGAGATGAGGATGATGATGAAGATGGTGGTGATGATGATGCTTTGCATGATGATGACGAGGATGGCGGTGATGGTGATGATGAGGATGAGGATGCGGATGATGATGGTGTTGATGATGCTTTTGATGATGCTGATGCTAATGATGATGATGCTGATGCTGATGCTGATTCTGGTGATGATGAGGATGAGGACGAGGATGAAGATCAGGATGAGGATGGGGATGAGGATGAGGATGATGACGATGACAGTGATTATGAGGGTCTTGATGATGATCATCATCATGATGATCATGATTATGATGGTGATGATGACGATTCTGATGCTGAGAATGATGCAGATGAGGATGAGGATGATGATGGTGATGATGATGGTGGTGAAGGTGGTTGTGGTGATGGTGATGTTGACGATGACGATGAAGATGACGATGATGCTGATGCTGGTGCTGCTGATGCTGATGCTGATGCTGATGCTGCTGCTGCTGATGATGATGATGATGCTGATTATGATGATGATGATGATGATGATGCTGATGATGATGATGATGATGATGATGCTGCTGATGATGATGATGATGATGCTGACGATGATGATTATGCTGCTGATGATGATGACGCTCATGATGATGATGATGATCATGATGATGATGGTGATGATGGTGATGGTGATGATGATGATGATGATGATGATGATGATGATGATGATGGTGATGATGATGATGATGATGATGATGGTGATGGTGGTGGTGGTGGTGGTGGGATGGTGATGATGATGATGATGATAGTGATGATGATGATGATGATGATGATGATGGTGGTGGTGGTGGTGGTGATGGTGATGATGATGATGGTGATGATGGTGGTTGTGGTAATGATGATGATGATGATATGATGATGATGATGATGCTGATGCTGATTCTGATGATGATGATGGTGATGATGGTGATGATGATGATGACGATGATGATGATGATGATGATGATGATGATGATTATGATGATGGTGGTGGGTGATGTGTGTGATGGTGATGATGGTGGGATGGTGGTGGTGGTAATGATGATGATGATGATATGATGATGATGATGATGATGATGATGATGATGATGATGATGATGATGATGATGCTGATGCTGATGCTGATGCTGATGCTGATGCTGATGCTGATGATGATGATGATGATGATGATGATGATGATGGTGATGATGTGGTGGTGGTGGTGGTGTGATGATGATGATGGTAGGAGGAGGGAGGAGGGAGGAGGAGGAGGAGGAGGAGGAGGAGGAGGAGGAGGAGGGAGGAGGAGGAGAGGAGGAGGAGGAGGAGGAGGAGGAGGAGCAGGAGGAGCAGGAGGAGAGCGGGCTGTCTCCTCCTCGTCGGGGGCGGGCCGGGACTGGCGCCGGGGGTTCCAGGGCCAGGGTCGAGGTTGGGGCTGGGGCTGGGGGCAGGCCCAGGGCCTGTGCTGGGGCTAGTGCCGGCGCCAGAGGCGGGTGTCCAGGCCAGGGCCACGGCCGGGGCTGGGGCTCGGGCTGGGGCCAGTGCTGGGGCAGGGGCAGGAGCCAGGGCCGAGGCGGGGGGAGGGTCCACATGAGGGGGACCGCGCGGGGCAGGTGTCACCCCCCCCCACCACTTCAGGAGGGGAACAACACACAGGCACAATTAATCGACGATTCCCAGAAAACATGGGAAAATATGGGAAGTGGGGGGGAAGACAGAAACCCAGAAAATTTTGGAAAATATGGGGGATATTTTTCTTTGTGTGTATTTATTTGTGTGTCCCAGTTCCCCTTCACCACTTTCTTTTCCCCTCCACTTTTCTTTGGCAGGAGGGACGCGATGCAAGGGGGGCCGGAGGCGGCGCTCAGACAGAAACCGTGGCTTTCGGAAGGCCCGATGGGGGTTTCAGAGGGCCCCCCAGGGGATCTCAGAAGTTTTGAAGGCCCCCCTGGGCCTTTCAGAGGGCCCCGACGGGGGTCTTGCCGCTGGTTGGACGGGATCCACCGCTTCTCGGACCCCCCTGACCACCGAAGGGGTGTCGGATGAGGAAGAGGATGAAAGGGGAGCGGGAGGAGCAGGAGCAGGAGGGAACGGGAAGGAGCGTGTAGGAGGAGGAGGAGGAGGGAGGAGGGCAGTGCAGGGAGGAGGGAGGAGGAGGAGGTGTTTATCGGTTCAAGATACGAGGGTCACGTTTTCAATTTCGGGTTGTACTGTTTTTCTGGATTCCCGACGTCGCTTCCGAGGGGCCTATACTGTTTTTCTGGATGTCCAGATGTCGCTTGAGATTGGTGCTTCTCACGTTTCGGCTCGCGCAACCTGTTTTGAGGTCGCGTGTCGAACTTGCGTTTTGATTGTCTGCGTGTCTCTTAGAGGGGTTCTCGTAGGTTCTTAGTGCGTCCTCCTCAGAGGACGCCGAGGGATATATCGTGAGCCGGGGCTGGGGCCGGGACCACGACGTCCAGGACCACGGCCAGGGCCGGGGGGACCAGGGCCGGCTGCGGCCAGAGCCAGGGCCGTGGCCGGGGCCGGGTCTGGTGCCGGGACTGGGGGCCAGGGCCGGGATTGGGGCCAGGGCCGGGACCCGGAACGGGGTCGGGGGCGGGGAGCTGGGGCCAGGGACCAGGACCGGGGCCAGGATTGGTCGCGGAGCCTGGGCTGGGACCAGGGCCCCGCGGGAGCCGGTACTACTGGGGCCAGCAGGGCCGGGTCCGGGGCCAGGTCCAGGGCGGGCCGGTGCTGGGGCCGGGGCCGGGGCTGGGACTGGGACCAGGAGCCGGGACCGCTGGCTGGGGCCGGAGCCGGGGCCAGGGCCGGGGCCGGGGTCGGGACGGGCTGGAGCCGAAGCCAGAACCCGGGCCGGGAGCTGGGCGAAAACGCTGAACGGGCCCCCCACCCTGCAGTCGAGGGGGCGGGCGAAAACGCTGAACGGGCCCCCCCTGGAGCTCAAGCGAAGCTCAGGCTCACGCTTTGTATCTCACACGCCAGTTCGGCGGATGTGCATATTGTGAAGACGAGTAGGGTTTACAACAGTTTCGCTGTCTCCATGCAGGAGTCGTGTGGGGTGCGCTTTGTTTTTCAGATACGGGGTGGCAAGAGGCCATGGTGCCACGCAGAGCAGGTTGCTGCTGACTGGCAGAGTGCTTAAGAGGGCCGTGGGCGTTTGAGCACCACGGTTCCTCGGGAGTCTATCGCGCAGTCATCCCCGCCCGTTCCCGGAGGCGGAGCAGTGCCTTGCCTTGTACATTTCCACTGAGGACGGGTCATTTCCATCCATATTTGCTCCCTCGCCTGCCTTGCATCCCGCGCCGCGACCAGTCGTAAATGATCCTTAGTTATATGTGTGTTCTCCGCGTGTGAAATGTATATTAGGTCGTTTTGTTATTTAGCTTGATGGAAGATGTTTCTGTGTTACCGTTCAGACATATCTGGCAGGTTCGGCACCGAAGCAGCGCGGCCTTCTGAGTGGAGACCCCCCGAGAAACGCCCAGCAGGCCGTAAGCGCGTGTCAGCTCTCTCTCTCTCCCAGGGCTCGACGGGGCCTCAACGTGCGACTGCTCCCCGAAGCTGCCATAACATGAGATACATCGGGCCCCAGAATGGGTCTCGCCTTCGGCCCGCCTCGCCTTGGCGGAAGCCGGCAGGAGGCATGGCGGATGCCGGCGTAAGCAACATTGCGGTGGGTTCGCTGACGGGTTCGCTGGCGGAAGCTCGGCGGAAGGTTACGATTTGTGTGCAGGGTTTCTGAAGTCGGCCGCATGTCTCTGTAGGTATGCACAGGGCCGTATCATTTGATGTCTCTATTTCGTCCGTCTCTCTGCCTGCCTGTGTGTCTGCCTGTGTGTCTGCCTGTTTGCCTGCCTGCCTGCCTGTCTGCCTGTCTGTCGGCTGGCGGGTTGATCGGTCGGTCGGTCTCGGTGTGTGTGTGTGTGTGTCTACATCTCCTGCCTCTCTGAGGCCTCCGAGTCTCCGCGACCAGCCGTGGGTCGTGGGCACGTGGCGAAGGCGCCTCGGCCTGCTGCTGGCTTGGCTTGGCGCCGTCCGCCTCGGGCCGGCCCACAGCGCCGCCCCCGGGCGGGAGAGCCCCGCCGGCCTCTCGACCTGCGCACGCCGCTGCACGCACGCGTGACCGCTCCGAGGCCGAGCGCCGAGCCCATCGGCCCCTCGCCCTCGAGGCTCTGCCACGGGGGCCCCGTCCCTCCGCGTGCCTCGCCGTCGCCCTCTGCCTCGGCTGCGCCGGCAGCGTTTCGCCCCCGCGCACCGTCCTCTGCCCTGGGCAGCCTCGGCGGCCGCTGCGCCGTCGGCTGCTCCGCTAGCGGGAGGAGGAGGAGGAGGAGGAGGAGGAGGAGGAGGAGGAGGAGGAGAGGAGGAGGAGGAGGAGGGAGGAGGAGGAGGAGGAGGAGGAGGAGGAGGAGGGGAGGAGGAGGAGGAGGAGGAGAGGAGGAGGAGGAGGAGGAGGAGGAGGAGAGGAGGGAGGGAGGAGGGGAGGGGGAGGGGAGGGGAGGGGGAGGGGGGGAGGAGGAGAGGAGGGAGGAGGAGGAGGAGGAGGAGGCAGCGCTTGGGGCACCGCCCCTGCGCTGCTGCCCGGCGTGGAGCGTGCGGCCCCCCCCCCCATCGCCCCTCGCGGGGGCAAGGGCGGCGGAGGAGGAGCACTGGCAGGATTGCCGAGGTACTGTCCTGGGAACTGGGTGTGCCATCCTTAGGCATTTGGGTGTCCAGGAGCAGTGGGACTCTTCTCGTGTGCTTTGTGTGTCTCTCATCCTGTGGCTCTCTGGGTCTAGCAGTATATTGGGTGCTTTCTCCCGTTCGCTGGGTGTCTAGCTATGTCGTGTCCTCTCTTACAGCATGGGGACTCCACCAGCCCTGGTTATCTTATCATGTGAAGGGGGTCGTTTACCCTATGCCATTGAGCATGCAGCAGTATTGGGACTCTTCTCGCGTGCACTGGATATCTCATTATATGGCGCTCGTAGTCCAGCAGTGCTGGGTGCTGAGTGTCTAGCTATTTCACGAGAGCCGCAGCATGTGGCGGCTCCCTTCCCTTGGCAACATGTGATATATCTCTTCTGCTGGACCCAGGAGATGGTAACATTACATGTATCTTTCCCAGGCGTCGAGCTGTAGCATGTGTCAGTTCGCATCCACAGCTCAGACAAGGCAGTAACATGTGACATATCTACTCTGAAGTGCCCAGATGGCCGTAAAGAGTGACATCTTTGCTCCCCAGGCCCCGTGGGGAGCACTTAGGAAACCTCTCGGGGGTGCATCTCGGGAGTCCTTTTGGGGTCGTTGCAGTGTCTTGGGCCTTCTTGGGCGTTCTTGTGGAGGTCCATGGTGGTCTTGGTGCAGGCTGCCAGGGTCTTAAGGCCTTCTTGGAGCCGCCCTGGACTGGTCTGGAGCAGTCTTTCGGGCGTCCTCTCCAGAACCCCCTCGTAATGGATGGTGCTGAAGATTTGAATCTGTCACTCCTGGCCCTTGGTCCCGTGGCCGCTTCGTGGCCCTCGTTTGAGGGGTGGGGCTCAGGGTCGATTCGATGGCTCGTGGCTCATCGCCTCGATGCTCTTCGTGGCCCCCGTGCGAGGGGCGAGGCTTTGGAGTGTATTCGGCTCGTGGCCCCCGCGTCAGCCCTGCTGGCTTGCTGGCCTGTCGGTCTTGCTGGCCCGTGGGCGCGCGGACCTGCGCGGTCCCGTGACCTGAGCTCGGTCAATGAAGTCTTTGAGCAGCACTGAAAGGTCTTTTGCAACTCAGGATTTTTGCACTGAGCATTTGGTCACGCTGCGTTAGCTGGTAAAAGTTTTAGGGCTCCGGCTGCAATCTTTCTACGATAGAAGGATTGCAGCTGGAGCCCTTACGGAAATGTCATGTTCGGGCATCTTGCGCACGAGGCTCGAGAGTCGCTTCGAGGGCCTCCAGGCCCGAGCCTCGAGGGGCCACTCGCGGCTTCTTCTGCCGGAGGGCTGGGCCCCAGGAGCCGCATTTCGGCGACTCCGTGGCTCGTGGCCCCACACGGGGGGTGAGGCTTCAGTCGGGCCTGTCCCTCTACAGGAGGAATATGCAAAAACAGTTGAACAATCCGGGGACGATTTTTCGACTATTTTTGGCTATATCTGAGGATTGTTCGACTTTTTTATTTTTCGTTCAAAATCCGCCTGTAGGGGGACAGGCCCGACCTAAGGTGAGGCTCAGAATTCTGTTGAATCTTTAGATACGTAAGGTCGCGATGCAGTGTGCGTTTTGCAGATAGAGTGTGGGCAGTCCAGATAGGACGACAGAGCGGATGTCAGGCAGGAGCGCTTGGAAAGCGGAGGGGCGGGCAGGAGGCGAGCGAGGGCAGGGTTTAGAAGTGCAGGCAGGAGGGAGAGAAGTGGGCGTGGCTTGGTAAACAGTGCACGCAGGAGCAGACTTTGTTCGACGTGCTTCTTGCAATGAGGATCGGCCCCGCCCTTGCCGCTGCGCTCGTGCTCCCCTCAGCGCGCCTCCTGCTCTCTCCCCGCTGGCTCCGTCTCGGCACGGAGCCTCTCGCCTCCGATGGCGTGCTCGCGGTGTGGAGGTTGGCCAGGGGACGCGGACTGAGCACCTGCGCCAGCCCAGGCCAGGCCGATCCTGAGCCAAGGTTCGGTGTGTGGAGGAGGAGGAGGAGGAGGAGGAGGAGGAGGAGGAGGAGGAGGAGGAGGAGGAGGAGGAGGAGGAGGAGGAGGGAGGAAGAGGAGGGAGGAGGGAGGAGGAGGGAGGAGGGAGGAGGGAGGAGGGAGGGGTGTGTGTGTGTCCCGTTTTCCCGCTCTTGCATGCTGGTCAATTCGCTATACAGCGGCTCCCCGCTCAGGCAGCTCCTTCCGCCGGCGCAGGACGACCCTTGCCTAGCCGCCGACGCAAAAAGTGTGTGTGTGTGTGTGTTGGTTCAGGAGGAAAAGAAACACACAGACACAATTAATCGTCGATCCCCCAGAAAATATGGGAAAATATGGGAATTGGGTGGGAAGACAAAAACCCAGAAAATATGGGAAAATATGGGGAATCATTTTATTTGTGTGTATTTATTTGTGTGTCCCAGGGACCCTTCATTGGTGTGTGTGTGTGTGTGCGTTCGCCCTCGCGGGCTTCTGGTCGGCTCCGGCCCGTCGTTCTCCTGCTCGCTCGCCCCCCCCGTCCTCCGCGGCTGGCTGGCCTGTGGCCCCACCGCCGCTTCGTGTGGGCTGGCCTCGTCCGATCCCCCGTCCGCCCCCCTCTGTCATCCGTTCCCCGGTGGCGGTGCCCATCGTGGTCTCCGAGGGCTCGGGCGTTTCCGGGCGCGCGCGCGCGATTGCTGATCCAGACTTTCTCCGCCTTGTCGCCTCGCGCAGGGCCGCGACGCTAAAAAGGTGTTCGCGTGTGTGTATGTGTGAGAGTGTTTGCCCGCTCGATATTTCCTCATCATGTACTCTGAGACACCCTGGCCAGAGAGGACCCCGAACTCAGGAACGGCGCTCTCGCTTGAGACGTCCTTGCAATTCAGTCAAGTGTGCGGAGACCCAGCCACGACGACAACGGCTCCCGCTTGACACTTCCTCACAATTTTCCTCGAGACACCCTGGCCAGAGAGGCCCTCGAACTCAGGAACGGCGGTCTCGCTCGAGACTTCCTCGCAATTCAGTCAAGTTGGCGGAGGCCCAGCCACGACGACAAAGGCTCTCGCTAGATATTTCCTCACGATTTACTCCGAGAGCCCCTTGCCAGGGAGGCCCCCGATTCAGGCAAGATGGTGGAGGCCCAGACACGGCGACAAGGGTTCCCGCTCGATACTTCTTAAGATGTAATCCGAGAGCCCTGGCCAGAGAGGCCCTCGAACTCAGGAGCGGCGCTCTCGTTCGAGGCTTCCTCGCAATTCAGTCAAGTTGGTGGAGGCTCAGCCACGACGACAAGGGCTCCCGTTCGATGCTTCCTCAAGCTGTACTTCGAGACCCCCTGTCAGAGACTGCAAGTCAATGTCGGCGCCGGAGGCCCACCTGCGACGACAAGGGGCTCCCGCTCGACACGCCCTCGCAATTTACTCCTAGACACCGTGCCCAGAAAAAGCCCCCGAACCATTGCCATAGAGGCCCCAGCACGCTGCTCACTGAGGCCTTCGGACACAGCCCACAGAAGCTCCAAGCGCGCCAAAGCTCATTATTTGTAGTGATATGTGTCGTGATATTCTGAAGGCTACCCTCGAGTCCTATGGCTCCCCGTTTCAGGACCTCCTGGTCTGCTCCTGGGCGCTCTATCTTGGTGCTCCGATCGGTCCTGAGGCCCACAAAAACGTCTGGGATGATATTGCTCCTCGGTTCCACCATCGTATCTGTCATACTCGTGGCTTTGGGTTGGGGCTCGCTCTGTCCGCCGTCTCGTTCAGGGTCATGTGCGTCTCGCTCTTGTTGTTCCGCTTTCAGATGTACCCCCCGAGCAAGTCCATTACCAACATTTTCAAAGAAGGTGTTCTGCTATTTACCGTTGGCCCGAGGAACACCATATCATATAACCTCGCCACTCAATTTAAGGAGATCGGATTTGGTGCTGAGTTCACCGACATCTATGCTGTGGCGAAGGCCGCGTGTATCAGGTACTTGTTCCGCTCCCCTGTCTTCCGTCTGGTGCTCGCTGATCTTGAGGCTGCACGTGATGATATCGAGCATACACCCTTTCGCTGGCAACGTGAATGGCATCACTCGTTCATATCTTACATGCGTGATCTACTTCCTTGGTACACAATATGTAACCCCCGTCTCGATATTGCGAGTAAGTCTCTTCAACAGAAACTGTATGCCTTCCTCCGCAAAAACTCCCTCACGGAGCCGGCCAAATCTATCCTCCTGAGGCGTGCCCAGTACTTTATCCCAGAAGCTGGAGCTTCGATGATCACTGATTTCTTTCTGAATGTGAAGAAGGTGGCGAAAGACACATCTACGTACCTTGGAGTTGTGCCGCTGCGTCTTCTCACCGCATCTTTCAACACAAGTGCGAGATTTCATAGTCTTCCTGCTGGCTGTCTTTTCGGATGCGTTCCGCCTTCCCCTGGGACCGACCTGGACTCCATTGATCACTATTGTATCTGCCCTGGACTTCGGGACCTTCTGAAAAAACGGTTGGGGCCTTACTTGGAAAAGTATTCTGGACCTATCAGTGGACCGAATGGCGAGTGCCCGTGCTGGTTCTGTCTCCTCCTCCTCTTCCGTGAGCCTCCTGAAGTCTGTTTGTTGCGTGCTGCAGGCTGCGATGCTTTTCTTGCTGCTCATAATGCCCGGCGCCTCTTTAAACCTGGTTCCCCTGCAGAGCACTTTTGAAGCCCGTCTGAGAGTTACCGCTCGGAGGCATCGTGCTCTGTCGGACGCCCGGTCGGGGCGTGCTCCTGCAATGGTGTGCAGGCTCACTCCGCGCCCTCCCCCCCCTCCTCCCCCGAATGTGCAATTCGTTGAGGCGCTACCACTTCGGATGCCAGGCGCGCCACGTGGTAGATGGGAGCCTCACCAATAGTTGCTCCGCCCGCCCCTTTGACGGGAGGGGCGATCCTGCCCACCTGTCAGGCAACTTGAAGAACTCAACGTGAACGGTGGCCGGGTTTTTTCCAACCGAAAAAGAAGCTCCAAGCGCGCCCACAGGGGCCCCAGCACGCTGCCCACTGAGGCCCTCGGACGCAGCCCACACAGGCCGCAGCACGCTGCCCGCAGGCCCTCTGGCGCAGCCCACAGAGGCCCCAAGCGCGCCCACAGAGGCTCCAGCACGCTGCCCACTGAGGCCGACGACGAAACCCGCAGAGGCCCCAAGCGCGGCAGAGGCCTCAGCGCGCTGCCCACTGAGGCCCCCGACGCAGCCCACAGAGGACCAGCCCACACAGGGGCCTAAGCGCGCCGACGGATGCCCCAGCGTGCTGCACACCGAGGCCCCCCGACACAGCCCACAGAGGCCCCAAGCGCGCCCATAGAGGCCTCAGGCGCGCCCACGGAGGCCCCCGCGCGCTGCCCATTGAGCCCCCGAGCACAGCCCACAGAGGCCCCAAGCGCGCCCACAGAAGCCCTTGGCCCCCGAGTTCCAGCAACAACGGCTCTCGCTGGATATTTCCTACAATTTACCCCCGAATCGCGCTCTCGCGCGGGACTTATCTACGATGTATGCAGGAATCGCGCTCTCGCATGGGACTACATCACCATTTATTCAACGCTGCGCCCTCGGCACCAACAATCACGCTCTCGTTATGGACTTTTCATTCCCAACCATCCTGTGGTGTTGGGTCCTCGTTTTGAAGAGACAGCGCCCCGCGTCTCCTCTCCTCTCCTCTCCTCTCCTCCTCCTCCTCTCCCCCCTCCTCCCTCCTCCCATCGCCGTCATCATACTCATCGTCATCATCATCATCATCATCCTCATCTTCATCATCATCATCATCATCATCATCATCATCATCATCATCGTCATCCTCGTCATCATCACCACCAACATCATCATCGTCATCATCATCGCCATCGCCATTAGTTCCCAACCATCCTGTCATCATCACCACCAGCATCATCATCGTCATCACCACCAGCATCATCATCGTCATCATCATCATCATCATCATCATCATCATCATCATCATCATCATCATCATCATCATCATCATCATCATCATCATCATCATCATCATCATCATCATCGCCATCGCCATTAGTTCCCATTTCCGCACACCCCTCACACGTTTCGTGGCCCCATAGGGAGCTCCACCGAAGGCCCCAGTGGCAGGGTTCGCATGCCGTTGGCACACCCCTCACACCCGCTCCACCAGGCCCCACTTCGCACACACCCCTCACACGTTTCGTGGCCCCATAGGTAGCTCCACCGAAGGCCCCAGTGGCAGGGTTCGCATGCCGCCCCCCCCCACTTTGGCACACCCCTCACACGTTTCGTGGCCCCATAGGTAGCTCCACCGAAGGCCCCAGTGGCAGGGTTCGCATGCCGCCCCCACCCCACTTTGGCACACCCCTCACACGTTTCGTGGCCCCATAGGTAGCTCCACCGAAGGCCCCAGTGGCAGGGTTCGCATGCCGCCCCCACCTCACTTTGGCACACCCCTCACGCGTTTCGTGGCCCCATAGGTAGCTCCACCGAAGGCCCCAGTGGCAGGGTTCGCATGCCGCCCCCGCCCCACTTTGGCACACCCCTCACACGTTTCGTGGCCTCATAGGGAGCTCCACCGAAGGCCCCAGTGGCAGGGTTCGCATGCCGCCCCCACCCCACTTTGGTACACCTCTCACGCATTTCGTGGCCCCATAGGGTGCTCTACCGAAGGCCCCCGTGGCAGGGTTCGCATGCCGCCCCCACCCACTTTTGCACACCCCTCACACGTTTCGTGGCCCCATTGGGAGTTCCACCGACGGCCCCAGTGGCAGGGTTCGCATGCGTCCGCGCCACCCATGTCGACACACCCTTGACACGTTTCGTGGC